TGTTGAGTCAAAGTGCTATCAAACATTATAAAAAACCCATCATTTCTCTATACATCATAAAATCCATTGAATTCTTACTTATGACTTTCTCTAGTTTAGTTGATAGGCTCATGGGGGTACCAATAAACTCATATCTTATTAGATTAAACTTTATGACTAAATCATTGACATATTAAGTTTATGATACAATAATTTCATAATATTTTAATTCTACCTATAAACCCAAAACATAAATGAATTACCTTATTAAATTGATTTTGAACCCTTTACTCAGAATTGTTTTAAATTTATCATAGTGAATTTTCGAGTAGCTCTTAAAAGAATGTCATCTCATATATCTTTGCTACTATTGTTTTATCTTCAATCATCTCAATAAATATCATGGTATCCATCTTATGTTGATTAAAACTCTTACACGAAAGTGCTTAATCTCTAATACAAAACTCCAGGAACATACTTTAATTAATTAGTATTTTTTAGAATTTGAACACATGAATTCAACATAGAATTTAATACAAGCCTCCAACCACCTCTAATGTGCCTAACAATTTGAGGACCATCTCCTTAAGGCCAATTGTGTCAGAAGGGATTTGAACCCCCGACCATCTCCTTAAGGTCTTATACCGTGAATGCTAACTTACAAGCTGGGATACACGGCAAGATGCACATTAGGTTTTAAAAAGCTTGAAACTCAATATTAAACTAGACATGTTTATGAGGCTTAAGTTGACTACTTTTTGGGTTAATTGGGTAGATTAAATCAAAATTTGTATGATTCACATAATGAATACGATAAGGAAGTGCTAAACTTTGAATTAGGCAGATTTGGATTAATCATGTCGACTCGCATAATAAACGATTAAGATTCAGGCAAAGAATATGTATACTTGTCATCTCAATTCGTCAGTAAATAACTCATAATTTAATAAATAAACACGAACAGTATATATATACAACGGACATGGAAGCCCACTGCAAGCTTCTGCCGAACAGAAGCAGATGTACCGGAGATGATGATGATAATTAAAAAAAAAATGAATTCACAAACTGAAATTAAAATCGATTTTAAAAGGGGTGATGTTTTGCATTCCCGAATATCCCGCCGAGCAGTTCTTGCCGGTACGGCAGAAAGCTCCGGCGATAACCGCCCGCAGCAGCGGGCTGCCCGCCGCCCGAGCCGCCCCTACCCGAAAAGACAAACCTCTCCTTCCCATCGCTCCGACTCCGACCGACAACCAGATCTCGGAGTTTCCACTTCCGCGACACCGATGATGATGCCGATGAACCCGTAGAGCCGCTTTTACGCCACCTATCGGGAGACGGCGGGACGAAGTTCGACGGAGCGGACCTCGATAACCGCTCCAGATCCTTTGCCTCTGACGATGAAGACGACTCATGAGATCCCGATCGCATATCACGCTTCTCGTATTCCATCATCAATCGCGCCACCCCCTCCGCCAAATCGTCCTCCTCCTTAGGGTTTCCGGTTCCGCCAACGAGGTCGCGATTGAAGACCGGATAGACGGGGAGAATCTTGCCGTTGTAGAAAATCTCGTCCGCTGTCGTATCGGGTAAAGAACCCGGATCCGAGTCGATTGAAAACGCGAACTCGAAATCATCTTCCTCCTCGCTAACCATCTCGAGCTGCGCAGTCTCCGGGAGCTCCGCTGCGCCGCCGGATTCCATTATCCCGACCCCCAGCTCCTCCTCCATTATCTCTCCAAGTCGTCCTCTCCCCATCTCTCTCTCTCTCACTCTCTCTGAAATTGCTGATTACTGAAACAGACGACGGAATAAAGTGGGGGATGGACTGAGAGGCGTATATAAAGCGGAGCAGGCTGTGAGTCGTGGGGACGAAGTTACAGACGATGAGTCGCATGCCGAGTTGGCACGTGTGAGCCTTGGGCTCTTCAATCTTCTATGCGCTCTAGCTCCTAACGAATATTTATGCGAAACAGTAAATCCACCGTTGAATTTGGATTAAACGGTCAGATCTTGTAGGAAGGTTCTTCTCCGAAGTCCCCTCGCGTACGCGTTATGTTCAACGGCACGACTGTTCCTGAAAGGCAACTAGAGAGCGAAAAAAAAAGGGTGAACGGCTTCGTCACGTGATCGACGGGGAGGGATTTTTCTAGTCGGTCAAATGGAATTAGTAGGTCAAACAATATTAATATTGTTTAAGATTTACTTAAGAAAAAATTATAATTAATAATTATAGTTAGTAGAATTTTTATGTTATATAAAGAGTATACTTAACTTAGAAATATTAAACTCAAATTAACTCAACTTGAATTTGTTTTTCTCTAATCCAAACTAAAATATGTAGCATGAATATGACTCACATAGCATGTATGATATATACATGTTTTCGTGTAATCGAGTCACCATTTAAGGTGTTGCAAACTCCTTAAACTTATCAACTTTGATTAGTTAGCTCTTCGATAAAATTTTAGAGGTGTAATCATTCTTCCAAATCGTGCCTGAGATATGCACAATATTTCTTAGGGTCTCAGAGATATCCTCCTAACTTTATTGGTAGTAGTGTTTTTTTTTTTTTTTTTTGAGGAAGTCTTTATTCTGGATTGCGTCTAGAACTTCGGCCATAGAGACTATTAGTGGCGTGCTTTGAGGAAGTTTGTGAGGCTTTTAGTGGTGGCCTCCTTTTGTCTTGCTGATTGAATCATCACACATGATACAAACGAACTTCATGATACATCTTTTTATTGGCCATTTAGTCGTTCAGGGATGACCGTGACTCCTTGAAATGGTCCCTAGTGGGCGAGCATGGATTTTGCCTTGGTCTCTAGAACCCTTTGTGAGCACTTCATTTTAGTGGGTATCGACCGAGTAACCCTTTTCTAGCAATAAGAGGAGAATTTTATTCTTTAGTAGAGATATTGTCGTTGACAAGTTACAATAGCCTGGTCATTGTGCCAACACGATACGTGCGACTGTAGGTTCAAGGTCCTGAACTTTCAACATTTCTCTCTAGAAATGAGTTATAAATGAAAACAAGGATTTGTCTTGCCCTTGACGAAGTTGTAGGAGAGCTTGCGAATTTCTCTTGGGCTTTTGCATGCTGGTGAATCAGGCTACGAACATTCTCTTGAAATTTACATATGAGGTAAAAACTCCGGATGGTAGACTATTGAACCTATGGAGGTTCAACTCTCTAAGTGTCATGAAGAACAGACGACACGATCTCATTGTTGATTCTTAATAACATATTACCAACTTAAAAGAGGTGATGTGGTTGGCTAAATCTGATCATCCTTGATAGGAGCCTAAGGTCGGGACCTTGAAATGCTCCAGGGCTCGACTTTAGATATTTTTTTTAGGAGAAAGCATTTTCATGAGGTTGGAATTCTTCTCCTTGAGTTACTCATCTTCTTGTTTGTGACATTATCCACACTCACAACACCTTTCAGAGTTTTGAACCTGAATCTATCCGTAAATCACACCTAAGGAATATAACATAAGTGAGGAGGGAAAAAGAGATATCAAACAGGGAAAGACATGAATCTCAAGAGGGCAAAAGTAGTAATTCCCTCATGGTCTTTTTGAAAGTGTCTCATTTTGTACATTAATGTTCTCATATTTATATTAAATGGAAGTTACATTACGAAAGGTAAATAATACTCTTAAGATTCTCTAATTTCGGTCAGTCATTTGCCATTGTTTATGTTGAATGCTTTCTTATCAGATTGTCATTTCGCTCCCTCCTTTGTTGGTGAGTCATTCATTTGCTTATTCGATCGACTTTCTCGGTTCTTCAAACTAGATAATTTTCTCGGTGCCGCATGAAAGCTCTTTGTGCTCGCTGTAGTTCAACTACTATTGAAAGACAAGATTATCACTTGAACTATGAATTTATTTTGGTGCAAATCAAGTGATGATGAGGTATATAAAATTTATATAAGACCTTTGATAAAACAAATTAACAATATTTTCTCACAACTAATTTTTGTAAAAGCAACTTAACAAATTCATTCTGCAAGAAATTTTCAGTTGCCAGCTTATTAATTAGGGAGCATAATAAACCATAAGGAGTGAACTTTCTATTAAGTAACTAATAAAATTCTAAAAGCTGCTTTTTCTAATGTCAACATTAAATAAAAAAGGGTTACTACACTTTGATCACCCATTGATATTTATAAACTAACCACCTAGGTGATATTTTTGAACTATCGGACCGATGTATCTACGCGTGACATGATCAAACTATTGAGAATTCGATCAAAATAAAATACAAGGTTTGGGATTTTAGCATGAATCTTTATATTTGATTGATAATTTAAAAAATGGATGGAAAAAAAAATTGATTTGTTAATAACAAGTTTCTGAGTGGTCCGTGTGTGATTGGCCCAAACAATGACAATTTGAAGATGAACATTCAAAATGATAAACAAAAGAGGTTGAAAAAATAAAGCCCAAAAAATCTTTCTCTAATATTCTATCACGTTGGACGGTCAACCACCTGAAGCCACATCACCATATACCTCATCGACGGTCGGCGTGGCGGTCAGTAGTTGGCCTCTGGAACGTGCGAATGTCTGAACGAAATATCTCTTACAGCCTAACTAAGAAGAAAATGCAGGTTAAGAAGATTTTGTTGCCATCATGAAGAGATTTTTGAGGGGAGTCAGTAGGAGGAGAAGAATTGCTAGCGCGAATACTGCGGCAGAGCTATGTGTGAGATTAATGATTGGTTTGCTTTGCTCTAATGTCCATTCGACTTTGATTTTGCATGCTTGGCGATGAATGAAACAAGTAAGCCGACCATTAAATTCTCCCATTACCTTTCTTGATTTCTGTTTTCAGCTAGGTATAAAGCCCCACAAGAAGCTTTTATTTTACCCTAAGTTCAGGAAGATTTCTGAGTTTATTAAGAAAGTTTTGCTCTTTCCAACATCAAAATCTTTGAAAAGCCTCCATCATTGTTCTTTTGTGATGAAGTTGTTAGCTTGGATGAATTCAACATTACATGGAGAGAAACCAGATATCAGACAGAGTTACTATCAATTGGGAAGGTAGTTAAGTGAAGACTTGGTAAATAATTTACAAAACTCATCAACCTGGAAAAAGCCTTTAAGTCTCAGATGAATGAGTAGTTCAATGTTCTGCTAGGATTGATCAGGTTTTCTTTGAATGAGTAGCATTAATGGCCATGTTTAAACATTTGCGGAAGTTCTTATAATGTTAATAGTTTCTTTAATCTCTGTCTTCCATGTAAAGTTAATGTACTGATGTGCACCTGCCTCAAATGTAAGAAAGAACATGTTACATTTTTAAGATAAATATATAACCATTGATTCACAGTTTCTTGTGTTGTGTTCCCGGCTCAGTTAGTGGAGCATCCGTTTCGGCGGTGTATGTCTCATCTGGATTGGGGTTCAAATCCCCCCAGGCTAGTTGCCCACTATATGGGGGTGTTACTTGAGTGGTTAGGCGCATGGGTCCAACCCAGACTAGACGGGTTGCGAGCGGGTGGTTGGCGGTTACGCCTGTCAACCATCTTTTTAAAAAAAAATAAAATGATAATTGGAAAAATTTATGCAGCAATTGGCAGTAACTGCTAGTA